TGTCGTTACCGTTACCTTTAAACTAATGTCACCTAAGAGGCTATTGACTTTAACATTAGCACAACTGTTATAATTTGCATATCACCCCTAATTATTATTTATTTAAAAACTGCATTATCATCTTGCAGTCCTATGGAAATTGAGACTGTGCTAGAAGGCCTGTTTACAAAAGAGACAGTTTGTGTCTCACCTCACCTGGAGAAAAAGCGATTGATTATGTGTTGTTAAGTAAAATAAGTGATGGCAATGTTTTAAAATGTGATATGAACTTATGAGTGGGGAACAATTGTGAATACACGCTTTGAACAAGACACTTCTAGAGTAAGTGATCAGAATTTCAATAAGTGGCAATGGCCATTTGATCTTCATTTTGATTATACAGAACGTAAACATCTTGTCATGTTGTCATATGCATTAAGCTTTGGTTATAAACACTGCCAGGAGAGATTTCATATGAAAAGTTCATAGATGGAATTTAAAGCATCAATCTATTTTTGACCACTGATATCAGTTAACATTCTTCCCACCTGGCAGTGCTGGGATCTATGCTGGCAGCCAGAAAAGAAAAAGAAGAAGAGGAGGAGGAGGAGGAGGAGGAGGAAGAGGAGGAGAAGGAGGAGAAAGAAGAAGAAGAAGAAGAAGAAGAAGAAGAAGAAGAAGAAGAAGAAGAAGAAGAAGAAGAAGAAGAAGCAGTAGCAACAGCAGCAGCAGCATCGTAGCATGAAGCTAAGGACCCAGTCTGAATGCAGAAAGCCAATAAATGCCATATAGTCAAGCCAACACCTTTGTGTGCCCTACACTAACTCTTCAATTATTCTGTGCAATTACTTCAATTCACTTTTTGCCTTGCTTCCTATCAGATAGACATGCCCCAGCAACAACACACTCAAGATGCTATGAAGGCGTTTGATGTGCTAAGAAAACATCTCTAGACATAAGGGGATTGGGAGACCGTAGCATAACAATCTTGTCAACATTCAAAACTGTTGCATGGGCTTGATACTTAGGGAATTTATTCTTTATCAAGCTTAGTAAGTACATGGTGAATTGGATCTTTACAGATGTGAGATGTCTGTGATGTAAATATACATAATCAAAATTTCAATATCTATGGTCAACAGTAATCCAACATGATACAAATTAATTTAAGACCAGACCAAGCACTGAACAAAAAGTTGATTTTTAAGAACTTATCATAAAAATATCTTAAAAGAAATTTAGAACTTATAAGCAAAAATACAAATAAGTTCAGTCATACATAGTCTAGATTGTGTTGCCTCTCAATTTTTTGCATTCCACAATCCTTTAGCATAGGCACATAATAGTGTTTAAGACGCAGTTTTCATATTTAATATGAAGTGGTGGAGTGAGCAATATTAAAAAGCAAAAAACACAGATACATGGAACCACTGGATTAAGCATTTCTCAGGATACAAAGATCTTCTGTCTTAAGGGAAGAAGCGGCTCTTTTACAAATACAACATCATTGATGTAAGGTAAGCTGGAGACCTCCTAGGTAACCCACTGCCTTGGTATGAAAGCCAAGTCTCTTCTGTGACCAGGAGAGTCACAGCTTCCTAAATGCAGGACCCAGTAAAATGATACCGGTACTTACCCCTGAAGAAATGGCTTTCCATGCCAGCCACAGTTTTAGGTGCCCCATTCTTGCCTAACCTTGTCAGAGACCAGATTAAAATGACACTGACTGGCAAACAAATAGTGAAATTTCAGTGTCCGGTCCTGTGGACTTCAAAGTATCTCCTCATTCTAAAAGAATTCTCCATCATATCCACGCCTGGCTACCAGCTACTGGCTACTTTCTATCTTCAGAAGCTGACTCATTCCAAGCTCTGCTCGTGAAGCTTATCATTATCTTGTCCAAAGACAAAAATGCACTTTGAATTCAGATGCGAATGCCCTCAGACTTGAGAATCTTGAGAAAAGCACTGGTACTCTGGTGCAAAAGGCAGAGCCATGAGGGAAACAGTAATAGCCTTCCCCTCTAGAAATATCATGTTGTAAGACAAATGAACAAAAACAAACAAACAAACAACAAAAAAGATTTTGCAGCATCTCCATGCAAATATTGTTCTTATCATTTTAAACTTGGTCACTTCCATACTGACTTTTTGACTTCTCATAGAGGCATTGATAATAAGACAACTCTCCATTTCATATAAACTGCTCATATTCTCTTATGCTTATTAATTTTGAAACTACTTAAGTGTTTCGTCTAATGAGCTTCACCATGGGGGGGGAGTGGCCTGATGATTGCATGCTGTTAATACGAAAATGAGCAAGATACCTTTCTGATTGAACATTCCCACTCTGCACCTGAAGATGGGTGTTCTGTGGAAGTGCCAGCAATGCAGACAAATGGCTTCTTGTATCTTACATGCTATTTGGCCCCCAAGGATAACATTCTAAAGGTAATCAATGCTACCTCAGAGACATTTTAAGATATGCAGTTTTTTAGAAAGATAAATGAGGGATATTTCCCCCAAAGTGAAAGAGAGAAAATAGCACAACTATTCCACCAAGTCCATCTAAAACCCCCAGATTTGCTTAGTTGTCACAGCTCTGGAGCAAAGTGTCAAGTTCATGACAGAAAGATCAACCCAAAATTCCCACAGCAGAAATTCAGATGACCACCACATCTGAAGATGGTGGGAGTTCTTTGAATCTCAGAGTGTTTCGTAAGGTCCAACCCATCTGCCACAACAGAACAATGATTCAGGAATTTGGAATTATTTCTGCATTCATTACCCAACATACTCACAGCCTATATTAAAAATAGTAGACACACAGGAAGTCCCCAGTTAGCATCTCCTCCAAGTTTTAAGCAACTCAAATTATTGAGTCTTCTTTCTAAGAACCAGCAAAGACACTGAAGGAACATCTAACCAGCTACTCAGAGAGTATCCTCTCATCCAAATCAGTTGATTCTCATTGATAAGAAATAAAGACTTAATTCAAAGCATCACCTCTGCAGCCCGCTTTACCTTTCCATCCCCATCTGTTCTGCAGTCTCCACAGCAGCACAGGGCTCTATCTTTTCTTGTGCGCCTTTCATTGCAGAGTGAGATGCCCACTACTTCATTAAACAGCATTAAAAACAGACTGCAAAGAACTCAGTGCAGCATACTCTAACAAGGCAATTGCTATAGTTCTCAAGGTAACCACACTCAACTGGGATCTATGACAAGCAGTCACTGGGAGATTGGCAATGTGCAAATCTAATCACACACACACACACACACACACACACACACACACTTGTCTGGGTCTGAACTGAATTATCACAAAAAGAAATCACCATGTAGTGAATGAAATTAAGTCACCAAGAAACCTAATGGTATTCCCTGGAGCTGTATAAGTTTCTTTAAATACACCTCACCCAAAGTACTGTCAATTAAGCATTCACCGAGAGGAATAGTTACTTTATCATTCCGATGACATAAATCATACCCAGAGAGGAGAAGCTAAGACATCTATAACACGATGGTCTAAAGCAATGCCTTTAAAATTACATTGAAACCAAATCATATTAGCACAGACAAGCACAGCAAGAGATGATCTTTTCCCAATCTTTTGGAATGAAAACATGTATCACTTTTAAAAAGAGATCTGAATTTATTTTCTAGAAATACTAAAAAATAGCCTGTTCAATCAAAGTGATGAAAAAGCAAAGAAGATGAGGACAAAGGACATTGAGAATCAAACATAAGCAGTTACATACCTTGAAGAGCTACATAAACCCGAAGACAGGGTCTCTCATGTTAAGCTCACTCTGCTGTTTGAAGGAAGCATAACCAGCTCCTGTGCCTTCCAAATGACTGTCTTTCACAAAAATGACATTAGCTAAAATGCTATTCAGACATCAAGCCCTATGGTAACATAATCCCGAAGAAGAAGAAAGGAGAGGGTCTGCTCATGCTGGAGAGCATATCAAAGGCTTTCTGACTTTCACAGAATTAAAAACAAAAACAAAAACAAAAAAACAACAACAAGAAGAAGGAGTGCCTTTCTGCCTGCCCTGTCTACTTCGCTGCTTACTTAAAGCAGTAAACTGCAGAGTTGGGGTCCAAGGCAGATGAGGAAGGGATGAGCACAGTTTAGATTCACTCTGCATTGGAGCAAATTTTGGAAAAAAAATACAGATTCATTTCCATTTTAGAGACTGTCATTCTCGCCTGCAGAAGCTGCGTCCTTTGAGAAGGCAGATGGCGAAATGATCGTCTCCCTCTGTAACATGTTCTTGGGGAGATCATTTCTAGCAGCCTCACCTTGTACCTCCCATCCCACCATGACATTACCTTCCTCTTTGCTTTTTCATTTAAACTTACGCTCCAGTCTTAGTCTGTGTCTGTAGAAGGTGATCAAGCTTTGAACTCAACACATCCGTGACATCAACGCTAAGCCATATAATTTCTCTTCCGAAGAAACTTTTAAAAACACTTGCCTGATACAGATCCAATCCTCCTAGCACATTTATTACCCGAGACAGCTGGCGTTACATTGGAGGCTATCGTGAAAATGACTTCAAGATTTTAAAAAATAAAACAAAAATATTATTATCCCCCCCCTTCTCCTCGAGCTCTTAGGACCCAGGACCTCTGTGGAAACAGAGGAAAGTGGTAAGTTTCCATTTTCTCGACGTTCTTTTTCAACTGAATCAAGAGAATTTCCAAACTTGGCATCACAAAACCCATGTAAAATTACTGGAAACTTCTGTTACAGAAAGCATTGTCCCTTTCAATTCCCCTCCCAGATTTCAATTTCTGCCTGCTCTGGGGGAAGGGGAGTCTACCCATGCCTTCGGCGAGACATAGAAACGAGATAAACAGAGATAAACAACACAGAAACGACAAACAGGTCAAAGGGAAGCACAGATAGATGGTAGAAAGAAAAAAAAGGGGAGTGGGCAGCAGAAGCAGAAAGCCCAAACAGCGAGACACAAAAGGCTTGCAATGCTCACGTCGGAAGACTTGGCTCTTTACCTGAAGGAACAGTGGAGTGACCCAGCGTCCGGGTGCCTTGACTGAGTGGATTTCGTTTGGGGCTTTTGTGAATAATTATTGTTTCTCAGTGAATGCTTTGGTTAGGTCAGTTTGGTTTGTGGCTTGCCTTTGTTGTTTGGTCGATTTATTTAACTGGTAGCAAAAGGAGCCCTCGGCTTGGAGGCAGGGGTCCTTGCGCTGCCCAGGCACAGCGCTGGTGGGGAACGCGTGGCTGCGGCTGTCGGGCTCTCGCTACTCCGGACTCTTGGAGGTCGTCGCTGCTAGAGAGCCTGTATATCAGCCCAGGCTGCTGAACTCCTGTCTGTCTATTTGCCTGTCTGTCAGTCTGTCTGCTTCAGGAAAGGGGGTGGGGGTGGTGTCCAGCTTTGCTCTGCTCCTCTCTCTCTGGAGTAGCCTCCGTCTCCTGCAGCCAGTCCTTGCGCTGATCTGTCCGCCCCTCTGCGACCTGCGGTCCCACCAGCAATGCGGGGACCAGGTGACTGTTGTTGGAGCCCGCAGAGTCTCTGATACTTTGCTACTTTGCGCTCTGGCCACTTCCCCAGGTCGGGTGGGAGGATGTGACTGCAGGGGGCGATTGCGCGGAGCTGGCTGTCCCTGTCCCTCCCTGTCCCTCTCCTCTCTGCCCACTGAGTTCTCCCTCTCCCTCCCTCTCTCTCTTCTCTCTCTTCTCTCTCTTCTCCCTCTTCTCTCTCTCTCTTTCTTCTCTCTTCTCTCTTCTCTCTTCTCTCTCTCTCTCTCTCTCTCTCTCTCTCTCTCTCTCTCTCTCTCTTTCTCTCTCTCTCTTTCTCTACCTCTCTACCTCGCTCGCAGGATTTCGATCTCTCTGGCTGAGTGTGTCCACCTGCCGGTCACTCTCGCAGTCCAGCCAGAGTAGACAGCCTCAGTGAGGCCCCCTGACCGGCCCCCACCCCTCGGCCATGCCCTCCCACATGGCTGGCTAGGTTCCCAGGCAGCGCCCAGCTCCTCCCTGCCAGCCGAAGACGCGTCCGGCCGGGCGAGCACCAAGAGCTCCGGAAAGCATTGCACATGCCCCCCCACCCCAATAGCTCCAGCTCAACACCCGTGCTCCCAACCCCTCCACGGAGGGAGATGCCCCCGAGGGGACGCCTGGTGATGCGTGGCCGCTCCGCCACCATGCAAAGCCAGGCTTGAGCGCAGCCGGCACCTGCTCTGTGCGCTGGGCGCTGCTATCCCCACTGCTCTCGCCACCCCTGGGCTGGAGACAAAGCGCATGAGCCACGCGCACGGCAGCGCGAGCATCATTAATCAGAGAGGAAACTGGCGCGCTGCCCCGGCCCCGCCACCCTGCATCTCCCTCCCAGCCATCAGGAGCGTCCCGGAGTCCAGCCCTTGCCTACCTCGCTGGGGTACCACCTCGAGTCCTAGGGATGTTTGGCCAGAGCTTCTGGCGCTCGGGTACCCCGCTCTTACTCTCCGGGGCCAAGTGCAGAAAACAGCCCAGAGCAGCAACACCTCAACCCCACCCAAGAAATGATTCTCAGTTTTGAGCTCTCAGATGCCCAGGCTTTGGAGCTGAGAGAGACAAGTCCAGCTGCTCAGCGAGGCTGGTCCTCTGGATGCAAGACCGCCCAGATCACTGCCTCCTGCCCCGCTGGGCGCTGATGCGCTGACTGAGAGAAACTGAGCACTGCAGAGCCCAGAGGAGTAGGGCTGGGGCAGGGAGCAGAGTTGACACCTGAAGAAATAAAAGCTGTGATTTACCCATTTGTTTTGGAGATGCATACTATTTTTATCCTGTGCAATTCTTTTTTTTTTTCATTATCTAAGAGCACACTACCAAGAGGAGGAAAAAGTACAGTGAAGAGTGAATAAATTTCCGGAATACCGCCCACTGGCAAGCAACTATACATCCTACTTTCCTACAGCATAGGTCACCAGCCAAGATAGTCCATTCTAGCTTCTTACCTCCAGCTGAGAGCAAGGCGTTGGATTCTGGGCTTCTTGGCTGGCTTGTTATTAATGGGTAGCAAAATTATAGTTGTGTACTTCTATGTGCAACTGCCAAAGCTCATTTTAACAATATCCAATATCCAAGGTTCTGAAATGCAGACAGTGAGTTGACTGTGGATCTGCTGCAATGCACAATACATTAAAAAAAAAAAACCGAAATCAAACAAAAACAAAAAACCTTACCAGTGGTGATTAGTAACCTCATGAGCAAACAACAAATATACAACTACCATAAGCTATGCCACGGAAATCTCTTCTTCTTTTATTTTTTATTTTATCCTTTTGACTTTTATTTAGGTACACCTGCCTTTAATGGTAGACGTTTAAAAATGGAAAACAAAACAAAAAACAGGCCTACGAGACAAATGGCTTCCGTGGTGTTCTAGAAGAATGATTTGCATAGACCTTGTATGGTTACCTACTAATATATAGATTATAGATCTTAAAGTGTGTGGTTTGTGAATGTGTGTGTGTGTGTGTGTGTGTGTGTGCGCACACGTGCGCATGCATATGTGTTCGCACAGGCATGTGTGCATTCTGAGGAGTAGAAGGTTGGATTGGTCCTGGATGAACAGATCATTATTCTCTAGCTATAAGTGTCTCCCGCTGGGTTTCCACTTCTGCAGGGCAGGACGAATCCACAGCATAAAGTTTCAGGCAAAAGGATCCTAAAGCTTTCAGGACACACACTCCATCTTTCCTACTGATGCCTCCCCAAGTATATTGATGAGTGTTTTCCAGCCATTTGGAATGTAATAGGAAAAAATTAAAATTCTTATAATCACATTCTAAGAACAAAACTAAATTTCTTCTTGAGGTATTGTATTAAGTTGTGCATGTGGTCAGTGTGGGTATCTCTTCTAGACAGAAGCCATCCCCCCAACCCCACCCCCACGTACACATATGCCTGTTTGTCCCCACACAGAATCCAATTCTGTAAACCAGAGTGGAAATTACAGCTTTTGAAAAGGAGAGTGGAATTCTGTGAAAGTTTTTAGTTAAAAAAAAAAAGACAAAACAAAACAAACAAAAATCTCTAGCACTTAAACTGATGGAAAGTTTCTAAATCTTAACAATAACGCACAAACTGGATGATGATATTTAGAGCAATAGCTCTTGTGAATTTTTAAGCTCTGTTTGAAAATAAGTGTACTTGGAATTAAGACATTAAAACTCAATTTTATTTTCTGATATATATATATATATATATATATATATATATATATATCTCCAACAAATCAGTGGCCTGAGAAGGCTCAAGTTTATTTGAGGCCATGTTGCTAATTGGTATTCACCTAACCAATTTTAAAAAATTGTGTCCTGGTGTGGGACTGAAACATTCTCTTGGGGCTATTAGGCAGGTAGTGAGCAATGTTATTATTGTAGGCATTCGGAAAGTGTGCACATTTCTTAAATGATTTGAAATGGTTCTTAACAGTTAAGGTCCTTGGCCTGACATACTACCAGGTCTTGCATTGTGTACAATGAGACCTCTGAGTGATAAAGTCACAGTAGCAGTGATGCCCTCTCTTTGAGGATGACATGGAGGGGTGGGGAAGCATGAGGTGCTGTTATTCCTGGTCTGAGGGCCCTTGTGTGTTTGCTGGCACTGTGTTTGAAATGAGGGTGTGAGACTGTAACCAGGTAACCCCAGCTTAGGGAGTTGAGCTCACCTACACACCGGCAAACATCTGAGACTGCTGACAAGCTCCTTTAAGCACATATTCCCTGAAGACACTAAATTAGTGCCCTTTAATGAAGCTCTCAAATTGGATTTTCAAAATAAGGCAAATTGGTAGAATAACCCAGCTACCTTTATGAGCACCTTTTCAGCTGAAGCGAGAAGTAGGATTTCCGTGCTGTTGAACCTGCAACATTTCTCAACAATTAGGTTGTGAGGAACTCCACTTAAGGGCAGACACCCTCCTCCACTGTAAAGACCCATATATTCCCTAGAGAGACTTCTCATCTGCCTCCTATCCAGCAAAACTGGCTAGAGTCTATTAAATATCAGTCTTGGAGTTGGGTTTCAAGCTTTAGAAATATATGTGAGGGAAAAAGGCAAGAAGAAAGATGGGGTGGGGTGAGGGTGGGTCGATGGCAAGATTAACATTTCAACCAGAAAAGTCGAGAGCCCCATTCTTATTTTGTACTCAGCCAAAATAACTCCCAAAACACATTTCAGAACATCAACAAAGAATGTTACATCATGTATGCATCTGAGCGTGAAGAAATGTCACGATCAAAAACAAAGAGGACTTCGGAGACGAGAAACCAAATGTTCAGATGGCACGAGTCCCTTGGTTCCAACTCTGTCTCCTCTGCAGTAGGCTGTGTGCAATGTAAGAAAATGATGCCCGTGAGCAGGCAGACCACAAATGACCCCTGGCCTGCACTCCCATGAAGTGATGCTCTGTTGCCAAAGGAGCTCAAGATGTTTCTTAAAAATAAATGTGTTTGGAGCTTTCATGGAGCTTCCACGGGATCAGAGGAGGGGCAATGGAGAGACACAGGAGGCATCTGCTACAGGGAGGTTTAGAAAACCTATCAGGGAAAGATCTGAGCAACAATAGAAGACTGCTGAATAAGTTACCTTGTTTCTTTTCAGCATTCCTTGGCCAGATAGTTGGCACTCAAAATATCTTGCTCCCCCTCTCCCACCCCCACTTTTTTTTTCCATGCCAAGAAGCAGAGCACTGTGTTTGCCCATTTGCATCCTGAGAAAGCCCCAGGTTCTCATGGAGTCTGGCAGGGGGACAGAGGCAGGAAGATTTTCTCTCTGCAGATCAGGGGTGGGATATCCTTGCCATCTACTATTCTAGGACCACTCTGGATAGAAATGTAGTCCTACATGTAATCCACTAAAGGCATTATTGCTTTCTATTTTGCTTGTGGTTGTGTTGTCTGAAAGTATGCGTTTCCACATGTGGTGTGGGCACATGAGTACTTGCAGTTCACATTCACATGTGTGTACATATGTGTGGAGGCCAGAGATTGACATTGGGGTCTTCCTCTGCCCATCACCACTTTTATTTATTAAGCTGAGATATCTTGTTGGAACCAGAGCTCACTGATATATCTAGTCTCACTGGCCAGCTTGGCCAGGCTTTTGAGCCTCCAAGTCCATCAGGTTTTCCTGTGGGTTCTGGAATCCGAGCTGTGACCCTGAAACCTGCCCAGTAAGTGCTTTCTTCCAATGAGCCATTTCCCCAGACAAAGGTGTTGCTGAGTTAAAAGAAAATGAACAAACAAAACACTTGGCCTAAAAAATGAAAGTGGTGAAAAAGCACAAGCTTTAGGAGACCATGTAAGAAAAGAGAGGCTGATATTGTATCCAGGAAGCCCCAAGAAGGACACAGAACAGAGCCTAGGCTGTGCCAAGCCAGGTCTGTAGTCCATCTCTTTATAACCTTTCCTCGGGTCACAGATTCCCCAGGATGGACACTGGTTCCTTCAACACACAAGCAGATGACTGTCACTATCAAATATTTGGCTCCTTGACTACAAGTAAAAGTTATTAATTAGGTGTTGGGGGCAGGAGGAAGTAGCTACAGTCTACCTGTAATGTGATGCAGGAGGTGTGAATTTGAAAACTATTCATGCTAACCTGAAATAAGGTGTGTGTGTGTGTGTGTGTCTGTCCACTTGATACTTTAAAAAATACTTAGGTCTTACTAAAAGATAATTATCTCATATCCGACGTCTCCAGAAGGACAACACTACAGAGTTATCTGCATAAATGTACGATTTGTTCTCTAAAGCCATTCTTTAGAGAACTCTCTTTTTTTTTTCAAAATGAAATTTACATTTATGCAATGTAAAGAGGAATTTTGGGGGAAAAGAAGAGGATTTCAAAATCAAAGGGAACAGAATAAAACCTTTCCCAGAATACAACCACCCAAATTGCCATGGCGTTTTTGCTTAGCCCATCTCTATGCATATGTATCTGTAAATCCATGGATCTGTTTTGCAACCATGGATTATAGAATACGTGTTATTTTATAATCCACTCCCGTGTTCCCTGCCCTCCTCTCTACTTTAGACTGAATCATTAGAGTTCTTTCCATATCTTTGACTATATTGGTATGTTAATGACAACAGACAACACAGAAGTTCATTAAATCTTTGAACGTACCTATGCTACAAGTAAAAGAACACCTGAGTTCCAACTTGGGATATTTTATTCTCTTCAAAGTAAATGAATTTTCCCTCTTGAGGTCTCTTGTAGTCCAGGCTCACCTCAAACTCATCATGCAGCTGAGGATAGCCCTGGACTGATCCTCCTGCTTCCAGATCCCACGTGCTTGGGTTAGAGGCTTATGCCACCATGTACAATGTATACACTGCTGCTTGATAGACCCAGACCATACTCCCTGCTAGTCAAGACCTCTACAAACAGAACTACAACACCAGCCCCAAGGGAAATCTTAAAACTTGATCTTGTTGTCCAAAAGGTATCTATATTTTATGTTTGATACAATCCTAGATTAAAGATATTATACAAATTTCTGAAGACCACTTTCTTTTATTATCAGGATTTATTAGAGAATAGTTGCTTTTTTTTCATTTATTGTTGTATTGGTTATGTAGAATTAAAGTGTACCACAAAATATTAAAATCTACTTTTAAATTAATGGTATTTTAGAGATATTTTTAAAATCTGGTGTGTTTGTGTGTGTGCACATGTGTTTGTGTTCCTGTGCATATGTGTGTATGTATGTGTGTGTGTGTGTGTGTGTGTGTGTTAAGAGAAC